TAGTTAGTAGTTGTGGTGGTGGTAGTAGTAGTAGTAGTAGTCGTAGTAGTGGTGGTAGTAGTAGTAGAAGCAGTAGTAGTAGAAGCAGTAGTAGTAGTAGTAGTAGTAGTAGCAGTAGTAGTAGTAGTAGTAGTAGTAGAGGCAGTGCTACTAGTAGCAGACGCAGCAGCAGCAGTAGAAGTAGTAGTAGTAGTAGCAGTAATAGTGGTAGGTCGTAGTAGCAATCGTCGTCGTAGTAGTAGTAGTAGTAGCAATAATAATAATAGTAGCAGTAGTAGTAGTAGTAGTAGTAGTCGTCTCTGCGGTCGTCCCAGTAGTCGTGGAAGTAGTCTTGGGAGTAGCAGTAGTAGTAATAGCAGTAGTAGTAGTAGTAGTAGTAGTAGTAGTAGTAGTAGTAGTAGTAGTGATAGTAGTAGTAGTAGTAGTAGTAGCAGTAGTAGTAGTAGTAGTAGTGGTGGTGGTGGTGGTGGTGGTAGCAGTGGTAGTAGTAGTCGCCGTCGTAGCAGTAGTAGTAGTAGTAGTGGCTATAGCCGTGGTAGTCGTAGTACGAATGGTGATGGAATATTAATAATGGTAGTAGTAGTAGTAGTAGTGGTAGTAGTAGTAGTAGTAGTAGTAGTAGTAGTAGTAGTGGTAGTAGTAGTAGTAGTAGTGGTAGTAGTAGTAGTAGTAGTAGTAGTAGTCGCAGGAGGAGTAGTAGTCGTAGCCGTCGTAGTAGTAGTAATAGTAGTAGCAGCAGTAGTAGTAGTAGTAGTAGTAATGGTAGTAATAGTAGTCGTAGTAGTAGTAGTAGTAGTAGTAGTAGCAGTAGTAGTCGTAGTAGTATTCGTAGTAGTAGTAGTAGTAGTAGCAGCAGTAGTTGTAGTAGTCGTAGTTGTAGTAGTAGTAGTGGTAGGGCTAGGGAGACTATTAGCGGTGGTGGTGGCTGTAGCCCTAGGTGTCATAGTTGTATTTGCAGTAGTATGTCAACACTAACTGTACGTGTCGTCGTCGTAGTAGTGGTGGTTGGTTTAGTTGTAGTAGTAGTGGCCGTCGTAGTGGTGGTGGTGGCAGTAGTCGTGGTGGCAAGAACCGTAATATTAGGAGTAGTAGTAGGAGTAGTAGTAGTAGTAGTATAGCAGTGGTAGTAGTAGTAGTAGTAGCAGCAGCAGCAGTAGTAGTAGTAGTAGTAGTAGTAGTAGTGGTAGCAGTGGTAGTAACAGTAGTAGTAGTAGTAGTAGTAGTAGTGGTAGTAGTAGTAGTAGTAGTAGTAGTAGTAGTAGTAGTAGTACTAGTAGTAGTAGTAACCATCGTCGTAGCAGGAGTAGTGGCACTGGCAGTAGAAGCTTTAGTAACAACAGCAGAAGCAGCAGTGGTCCAGTAGTAGTAGTAGTAGTAGTAGTAGTTGTTGTTGTTGTAGTTGAAGTTGTAGAAGTGGAAGCAGTACGAGTAGTAGCAGGTAGAAGAAAATACTAATTATTAGTAGTAGTTGATGCTATAGTCGTAGTTGTAGGGTTGGTAGCCATAGTAGCAGTAGTAGCGGTAGTAGTAGTAGTAGGAATAGTAGTAGTAGAGCGTCAGTAGTAGTAGTAGTAGCCGCAGTAGTAGTCATGGGAGTAGTAGTAGTCGTAGTTGTAGTAGTAATAGTAGTCGTCGTAGTAGTAGTACTACTCGTAGTAGTAGTAGTAGTAGTAGTAGTAGCCGTCGTAGTAGTAGTAGTAGTAGTAGTAGTAGTTGTAGTAGTAGTAGTAGTAGTAGCAGCAGTAGTAGTAGTAGTGGTAGTAGTAGTAGTAATAGTAGTAGTAGTAGTACTAGTAGTAGTAGTAGTAGTAGTAGTAGTAGTAGTAGTAGTAGTAGTAGTAGTAGTAGTGGTAGTAGTAGTAGTAGTAGTCGTAGTAGCAGTAGTAGTAGTAGTACTTCTACTAGTAGTAGTGGTAGTAGTAGTAGTAGCAGTAGTAGTAGTAGCAGCAGTAGTAGTCGCACGAGTAAAAGCAGGGGTTGTCGTAGTGGTAGCAGTCGCAGTAGTAGTCATAGTCGTAGCAGTTGTCGTTAACAGTTGTTGAGTTCGCACGCTGTTATTGGTAGCTACTGTTGATCTCCCTCTCGGGTGCACTTCTTTGCTTGTCCATTGAAGTGCCCCGCCCTGGGCTCGCACCTTATTGTTTACAAGGGGAAGTCTTGCGTCTCCGATTACGTTGTGGGCCCCGGGGCTACAACAACAACGATTCCCCTTGGGCGTGTCATTACCATTTCTTCCAGATCGGGCTCTCGCGCTGGACTTCCTCACAGTGTATCCAAACATCGCGCCCTCGCGTCGCATTTCATCGCAATGTATTGCGACGCCGCGCCCCCAACACTGAAGAGTCACGCCCTCGTTTTGGACTTCCTGACAATTCACTTGGGACTCGCAGAGTCGCTAGAACTTCCTCGCGATTCCTGCAGGATTGACACTTCAGCGACCGGCCAGCGCCCGCCCGACCCGCCCGTCATGTTCTGCCGCTAGTTCTCCTGCTCCGACTCCCCTCCTAACTTCTGTCGTGCTCCATCCTTCTCCCTCTCCGTTGTCCCTCCTCCCCCTCTTCCCCTGCTTTAGAGGCTGCGCCAGCTACTCGTGGCAGGTAAGGAAGATGCAATAGACTTCCAAGGCGGGCACCATCGAAGACGGAGAGGGCGGGCATCGATGGTTTGAGATATACATGTTGAGTGACACGCGAGCAGATAAGACCGATCAGTTTTAAAATTAGGTTTGCCGGTGTTGTTGTTGGTGTTGGTGTTGGTGGTATTGTTGTTGTTAGTGTTGTTGGTGTTGGTGTCGTTGTTGTTGTTGTTGGTGGTGGTGGTGGTGTTGGTGTTGGTGCTGGTGTTGCTGACGTTGTTGTCGTTGTTGGTGGTGTTGTTGTTGCTGTTGCTGTTGCTGTTGCTGCTGCTGTTGTTGTTGCTGCTGTTGTTGGTGGTGTGGTTGCTGTTGTTCATAGGGAGCGTTTGGGGTCTCGGAGGCGGTCCCGCGACACCGAAATCAAGAACGCATCATCGGGGCTCGAATGACGGGGGTCGCTGCAAACGGGGTCAGCCAGAGCGCTGGATCTTGCAGGATCCCGCAGGGCCAGGGGCGCGGGGCCCAGGGAACGCCACTACCGGGTCGTGGTGGTGCTCTTCGCACTCCCAGGTAACGGAGTCTAGAGGCCCCAGGTGGCGGACCCCTCTGGCCCCCCCGGGAGTCGCTGCTGTCGTCGACAGCTGGCTACCCCCGGGAGGCCGCCCGCTTCGCGGGGCGGCAGAGGTGTCCGCCGGCTCCCGACCACAGCGCGTCGGGGGCCAGGAGGAGGAGGAGGAGGAGGAGGAGGAGGAGGAGGAGGAGGAGGAGGGGGAGGAGGGGGAGGAGGAGGAGGGGGAGGAGGAGGAGGAGGAGGAGGAGGAGGAGGAGGAGGAGGAGGAGGAGGAGGAGGGACTGATCCGGGCCAGCAGATCCCCGAACAGATACGAGGATGAGCCCCCGGCCACCCTTGCGGGGACTTTTTCCCACTGCGCGTTCTGCCCAGGATCTGGGGGCAGATCCAGCCGCGGCGACGAGCAGCCACCCCGCAGGGACGAGGAGGAGGAGGAGGAGGAGGAGGAGGAGGCCGACGACGACAATGAGGAAGGAGGAGGGAGGAGGAGAACAGAGGAGGGAGGAGGGACGAAGGAGGAGGGTGATGGGAGGAGGGTGGAGGGATGATGATGATGATGATGATGATGATGATGATGATGATGATGATGATGGTGATGGTGATGGTGATGGTGATGGTGATGGTGATGGTGATGATGATGATGATGATGATGATGATGATGATGATGATGATGGTGATGGTGATGGTGATGGTGATGGTGATGGTGATGGTGATGGTGATGGTGATGGTGATGGTGATGGTGATGGTGATTCCCTGCGCTTTGAATCGGTTAGTCTAAGCTCGCTGGGCCTGCTCAACCAAGAGAGAGAGAGAGAGAGAGAGAGAAAAAAAAACAAAAAACAAAAAAAAAAAGAAGAAAAAAAAAAACAACAACAAAAAAAAAAAAAAAAAAAAAAAAAAAAAAAAAAAAAAAAAAAAAAAAAAAAAAAAAAAAAAAAAAAAAAAAAAAAAAAAAAAAAAAAAAACGACGGGGCGCCCCCTTCGTTTGGACTCTGAAACGGAGTCCGCGGTATCTGGAACCGAGACGGAGGCGGGAGCCTCTTGCCTCGGGCACGGGACGAGGCACTATCTAAATAGTTGCCAAGCTGGATGGAACGAGAGGCTAACCACTCTCGAAACCAAATCCAAAAGGGTCAAAGTCGGCCCCTTCATCGAGCTCGACCTCGACCCCCATCGCCTCCTCCCAGTCGGGAGGGGGAGGGGGAGGAGGAGGAGGCGGGAGAGGAGCGGAGGGAGGAGGAGCGAGACGAGCGAGTTGGGCAGCCGAGAACCCCGCCGACCGATGGGGAAGGGGTCTCGTCACAGCTCGCTTCTCTAAGATTCGGACAATCGATCGATGCATTAAAGTGGTCAGTGTAAAGCGGTCCCTGGCTTTCTGAATTACAGAGGTCGGGAGGGGGTGTGACTCGGCGGCATGTGCGGCAAGCACATCAACTTTTTTATGCAACTCTTCTGCGAGCGGATGCACCGCACCGCGGTCTACACCGTCCTCGCCCTGGTGCGAGTGCACGTGCTCGATGTAGAACATCTCAGGCTTGGCGTCGATCGCGATTTTGATCTGGGCCCAGATGTCGTGCCAGCTTCCTCCTGGCGGCTCTCCTCCTTTTAGTAGGTTATTGAATTCTCGAACACATTGTTGATTGTCGCAGTAGATCCACACAGGCTCCTCCGCCACACGTACAACGTGAAGTAGGGCTCTGGCTTCAGCACGTGCACTACTTTGTCGTGGCCCATAGAGCTTCGACGAGTAGTTAAGGCGGTGGTGTGGCGCCACATATACAGCGTATCCCGCTCGAGCGAGCCACTGATGTTGGGGGCAACGGCAGGCGCCATCCGTAGCTATGGCCATCCACCGCTTGTTCTCGTCGTCGGTGATGTAGTTGACCATGTCCTCAGCAGGATCGTCATCCACTTGCTGTGGGGGTCGATGTTGTGCGGGCTCAGGTAGAGCAGCGAGTTCGCTGTAGAGCTTGACCGTCTCCTCATCGATGAAAGTGAGACCGCAGTGGCGTGTTGACGGCGGCCACTGATCACGTTCATGAACTTGTGGATGACGAAGTAGTGGTGCGCGTTCTTCTTGCCAGCACGGACATTCCCACAGGATGTGCACTTGCGTTTCTTGTTCTCTGTCACAGAACCTGCACACCGCAGAGGGGTCTTCTGAAATGGAAGATCTCTGCAATCTTTGTTGTGCGTGGTCGCCGCCGGCTAGAAATACAGACAGTCGGCCGCGCTGCCACTTAGTAAGTCGGTGCCTGAGACTGCGTGTTCGCAATAGCCAAGAATATGAAACCATGTCGATGCCATACTTGTGCTTAGCCACGTCCCCGAGGTCATTTCGTGTAGTGGGCACCTTGCGTTGAAACCACTGTCGCTGTGAGTCTCGGAGATGACGCACGAGAAGATCACTGCGCCCTTCGAGCCACAAGATGGGGGTGCCCAGGTCGGTCGTCAGGATGTCGACAGCTGGCCATCGCCAGTTGAGCTGGTTGGGCAGCTGGACAAAAGTTCGTACTGGACCAGGGTACGCAGTGTCTGCGTCCTGTACATGGTCCCGAAGGTCACGCACGTAGTCCCACAGCTTCGGTACCCGCAGAACCTGACGTCGCAGCGAAAGGGTGGCTTCTCTCTGGCTGATCGCGATGGGGTCGAGGAGGTGGCCTTTCAGCACGACGCCCAGCTAAATCCACAGACAGGCCCACTGCCTTCCCTGAGGCATGATGGTCGCGAACATTGCATGGTAGTAGTCTCGCAGCTGTCGGTTGGAGGGCGCACCGAGGTCGGATCCCACGGCAACCATGGATGCCGCCATCATCTGCGCGATGTCGGCACGCTTGTGTAGAGGGAGGGAGAGCCGTTGGATACGTTGAAGTCGTTGAGCCGCAGCAACGAAGTGTCGGTCCATGAGGCTAGCGCCATCGCCTCCGCGAGTGACGATCTGGCTACCCACGAGACGGAAGGCGCGCTTCACGGGCAGGTCGTGGCCACACACCGCGGTGTTGGCGAGCTCAGTGGTCATATCCTCGTCGGTGGCCCAGGCGACCAGCTTCCCAAGGTGTAGCTCCTGACCAGAAAGTTTATCAAATAGAAGCGATTCGCGGAGCGATTCACGAACCCCAGCCATGTCCCATACTGTAGAGTTGGAGTCGTCGGTATACGTTATGGAGAGTGACCTCGGTATTAATCTGCGTTGTCTCGCCGTCCAAACATACATGAGCATCTTAATGTCATCAATGCTGAAGGCCGATCCTTGTAGGTGGCCATTCGTGGTAGCCATGGCGTCGCTGTAAGTTCCAGACATTCGCAGGTACCTCCGATGCTGTGCGTAAAATTGTTCACGAACTCAAAGCACACTCTCGGGGCACCCAACACGTCGTTGTAGTTCGATGCATATACTGGATATCAGCAGGTCGAAGCACTTCTTCCTGTCGAGGGCGAGACCGTGGACCCAGTTCTCGGCGCGACGGGACCACTCGACCTGAAGGGCAAGACTGGTGGAGACATCCCAGAGACGGGCCCCCGACGTGGCCCCGAAGCTCGCGGGGCGAGTCCACTTGCGCCTCCAAGGGTCGAGCTGTCGGTAGATCGGAACTTCCCCAGCAGAAAGCCACACAGACAGAACAGAAAGAAGCCTTTGCTCTTCGGGAAAAATCCCCTCTCCCTTCCTCAAGGCGGGGTTCGGAACATGTTTGAAAGCCGAGGGGGCCTGACCCGAATCCTGCATCGATCGAAGAGCCTCGGCAAAGACAGCTTGGATGGCTGTGGGCAGAGCTTTGGCCTCCACCGTCGCCCATCCGTCAAGACCCCCCGCCTTGCGAGAGGAGCGCGCCCGGAGAAAAGCACTGACATCAGCATCACTAAGCGAGGGCTCAGGACAAGGGCTCACGGGGGGCAGCTCAGCCTCGCATTCAGCACGGAAATCCCCCCAAGTGGGAACCTCTGAAGTTCCACGGCATCTTCAAAGAACCGGCCCCCAAGTTAGCTGCATCAACTTGATGATGTCGAGCGGGTTGGAAATGATGTCCTGGGTATCAGGTTTTTTGCGGAAGGTAGTGGGTTGCTGAGTCTGCGCTTTTACCCATGCACACACCTCTCGCCCTCTATTTTGACAAGATGCTGAAATTCGTGTTCGCCATTGTTGCAGTCGCTGTCGTTGGGCTTCTGCGGCATACCGTTGTTGTTCAGCAAGTACCTGGGCAGCAGCATGACGGGCTTGGTCTGCCGAAGGCCAGCAAAAAGGCGTCCACCATCCAGGCCAGGATGCACCACATACAGGTTGTAGAAGTTGAACTTGCTTGCAGCAGTTGGCCCAGAGCTGGTGGTAGAGCTGGATATCGATGTATGACGTATACCCACGGGCTTCGCAACGTTCAGCGCGGTAGCTTAGTTCCAATAGTCGACGGTGGAGCTTGGTGCATTGCCACTCTGTGCGAGACATAGCCCCATGCTGTGGGGAGATAGGTGGGGCAGCCCACCCTTGCACGAAACGAGGGGGCTTGCCACGCCCTCTCGTTCCCTTCTTGACATGAGCATCACAACATATCTCCAAGAAATCCTCCGCCATCCGGCTGGCAAGAGCGAACGTATCCTCTGCGTTGCCTTGCGCCAGTGCAAGCTGCCTGGCATGTTGGTCGACCAAGTAGGCACCAAGAGCTTCACGTTCGTCATGTGGCATACTGATGTGGTAGACGTCGTAGAGCTTCGGGCGTTCCCACCGTCGAACCCGCGCAGCAAATGCGTCCACGTTGAGGGCAACTTCAAGGCCAAGATGTCCAGGGCATTTGAATCCACGAACGATGTGAAAGCCGATGACCATAGCATTGGCGCTATCATTCGCAAAGATATAGTCGATCCTAGAAGTGTGCTCGATGGGGTCGTGGCGTATCCAGTTGGGGTCGCGGCCGTAGGTCATGGCATCCTGGTCGGGATACCCGCTCGAGACATTGTTCCAGCCACCTTCCTGTAGTACCCAACTGAGGAACGCGGACTCGGTGACATCGCACTGGGCATCCATGGTGATGAGATATGGGGGCGGCAGTACCTCGTAGCGCAGCTGCTTGCCAAGCGTCCGCGGACAGGTCCTCGTTTGATTCAGTAGCGACCCCGTAGACGGTGGCGAGGTAATACCCAGTGGTCAATTTCCCTTTCCGATTGGGGATGGGAACAAAGACTTCCTTCCAGCGCTTGGTTGCCAAGAGACGTTCTTGGACAGGATATAGGCAACCCGTAGGAACCATGGGTTCAGAAGTCGGAGTAACGATAGCAACGCCCCCATGCTCTGTGTTAACCCCTTTGGTCACACACTGATGCTTGCCATTCTGCGCTGGAACCACACGCGTGCCAGGGGACAGAGGCGGGCCCCAGTGTGCTTTCCAACCGTGCCGATGGAGATGCTTATCAAGGTCCGAAAGCTGATGACGTGTATGGCGTACCTCTTGAAGAGCTGCAACGGCGACGCCTCGATCGCCAAGAGCTGTGAGCAATTCCCAATGTGCTTGCAGCGAAGTCACGTTGAGCGAGACGAACTTGTGGTAGCCAGGCCCGTCACCCAAAGTTGAATCCGAGTATGCTCGCGTGCGATGACTGTGGCAGTGGTACTGGGGCAAAGTCGTCATAGCCCACATAACGAAAAACCCAAAATGTCGTTCGAGGCGCTGTGTTCGCATGAGGAGGTGAGGTCTAGGCGGGGCCTCCCGCGTATTGGTCTCGGCCGTGCCGACACTGTGGCAGTCTCCCAGACTAGCCGTAGACATGGTCGAGGGCGCGGTACGTCGCTCATTTCTGCAACCAACCCCCTCGCTGCAGTACCCAAAATTTGAGCATGAAGATCACCATCAAGTGAATGTAATTGGTGTCCCCGTTCACGAACTTCCCAACGAAAGGCGGGACGTACCTTCCTTGGGCACCTTCAGAGTTTGTCGTCGTCCTTGCTGCCCTTGCCGTCGTCGCTGATGCGCGGCATCTTCTTGTTGGGGGCATCGACGTGCTCCTCCTGGAGGCTCATCTTCTTCATCTTCTTGAGGATGGCATCCAGACTTCTCTGAAGCTGGTCCTGGTTCACCTGGGTGGTGTTGCTGAGTGCCTCGTTCACCCCTCCTGCTCGCCTCCTGCTCGCGGCAGGCGGCTGGGCTCGTCGTGGGGCGCGATATCGGGGCATATGGCCTGCACGTTATATTTGATGACGTCGTGTATCCCATTGCTCATGGAGATTTAAGCGTCGGCCTTGCTGGCCGTCTTCCAACCCTCGTTGGCTGTGCTGCCAAGCTTGTGCTTGCGCTGCCCGTCCTTGCTGTTGATGGGCAGCGCGTCGGCCTCGTGGGCGGTGATGCGCATGAAGGTTACGTTTCCATCCACTTCGCCAAGTTGCGCGACATTGGTCTTCATAACGACATCGGTCTCGCCGAACTGGTAGATGACGCCGTTCAGGAAGGTCTTCCGCGGGGTAGAGGTGCCGTCGGGAGCCTTGAGCACAGGGATCTGGATCTTCGAGTGGGCCCAGTTTGCGTTGCCCGTGCCGACCGCCAAGATAGCGAGCGGCACTTTCTGGCGCCGTAGCGCCGTGCACCACTCCTCCGCATCCTCCGTGCTGTGGAGGGAGATGGAGGACTCGTAGGTACCGTCGGGCAACTTCTTGGGAGCCTGCACAATGGTGGCGGACCAATCTTGCTCGTCCAGGGCGATGGGCTGCGGCTCCACGGTCGCGTTGTCTATACCCTTGCCCTGCGTGGTGTTCGCGGCTCCATCGGTCACAGCAGCTTCTGCCGAGGTGCGCCGCTGGTGCTCGTCGGTCCACGTGTTCTCGTTCTTTGTCGGGAGCTTCTGGATGTCTCCCGACTGCTTGTCCTCTGAGGTTTGGTCCAGCACCTGGTCCAGTCCCGTCTGGTCCTTATGGGTCAGCTCGTGGCAGGCCGCGGCAGCACGAACGCCACCGCCCTGTTGTGTGATTCCGTCAACCTTCGTCTTGCGAGCAGGAGGCCCGCTGATCTTCGTTGCCTTCTTCGCCATCTCAAGACACTGGATGGTCGCAAGCGGAGCGAGGAGCAAAAGAAGAAACCGATCTTCTGCAGTGAAGCTCACTGTCGGTGCCGCCAGGAGTACGATATTCGGACTCGGAGGGCAGATCGGAAGGGCTGCGCGCACTCGCTCCCCAGCGAGTTCGAGCCCGAGTGGCACTGATGGTGATGGTGATGGTGATGGTGATGATGATGGTGATGGTGATGGTGATGGTGATGATGGTGATGATGGTGATGGTGATGATGGTGATGATGGTGATGATGGTGATGGTGATGGTGATGGTGCTGATGCTGATGCTGATGCTGATGATGATGATGATGATGAGGAGGAGGAGGACGACGACGACGACGACGGCAACGGCAACGAGGAAAACGACGACGTCGATGAGAAGAAGGGTAGGGCAGTCCCAAAGGGCTTGACGACTTTGCTTCAATAGACTTGCGGGGTACAGCCGGATAAGCTGACGTAAATCAATGCGGGTCGACGCAGAAAAAGAGAGAAAGAGAGAGAGAGAGAGGTACAGCCATAGAAACTTTCGATGGAAGATCTGGCGAGAGTCGTCGGAGAGCAGAAGTCGTTAAGTCCTTCGCGAGAGACCCAGACATCCTCCGACACTCGTTTTGCCAATCCGCGCCCCCAGATCTCCCGGAGCTATTTCGGTGGTCCCCGGGCCCGATATTGGGCCTTGAAGACCGAAATCAAGGAAACCCGTTTGGATTGACGAGAACATGACGTCGGGAACTTTTAGATAGCGTGTCGCTCCACCGGCTCTGACCCACCACGCCTCCGTGCTACACGCCGTCCACTTCGCGGTCCCGAGGCGTCCACGCGCTTCGCGGTCCCGAGGCGTCCCCGTGCATGGTTGTCCGAGCCTTCCGCGGAGCGGACCGACACGCCATCCGCTCGCAGGGCATGGCGTGTCGCCGGGGCCGCCAGGGCGATACGCGATCCCAAAGTTCCCGTCCTGCTCGTGGGAGATCCGGGGAAGTCGTCGAGCCCTCGGCGAGGGAGGGCGCGGGCGTGTCCGAGAGGCCGCCGGCTGGGGCGTGCGCAGCTGGAGGCGGAGGGCGCGGCTGAGCCAGACGGCGCCGCCCTCGCAGGGCGCGGGTCGTCCGGCGCCAGGCCCCCTCGTCGGTGGGGTCGTAGGATCGGGCCTCATCGCCGACGCATCGGCGATGTGGCCCGACGTGAGGCCCGGGCTCGGCGATTCGCCGACGTATCCGTGTGTCGGCGATGCTTTGGCGACGAGGTGCGATCCCCCGACCCACTTGTCTGGGACTGGATCGGGGAGGCCTCCCTGGGAGGAGGGAGGACTTGGGCGTTCTCTCGGTTAACCTCCTTCTGCAGTGGAGACGCTGAAACCAAGGGCGCCCTTGAGGGCGCGAAGTTATTCGCGCTTCGCGGTTCGGCTCCGATTCCTCCTCTTCTCCCCCTCTTGGAGGCGGGGCGAGAGCTCGAAGTCATTCGCACTTCGCGCTGCGCGAAGCGCGAAGTTGGGAGCCCTTGTGAGAGTCAGACCACCCGGGGCTCAGGAGGGGCTCTGGTTTCCGGGCCGTTCTCTTGATCTGGGTCGGGAAGGCTCGCCCGTGGCCAGGAGCGCCCCGTCGTTCCTTCTGCAGCGTTCCTCCTGGCAGCAAGACGACTGTCAGTGTACTGAGGCTCGGCCCACGGGGGCCCTAGCGTTTCGGCGCTTTCAGGGTCCTGGCCTGCCGCTGCAGTTCTGTCTTCTCTGCCCACAGCGGCGGTGATGGGGCGTTTGCGGGGCAGGCCCGCATGCATGCTCTCTCTCTCTCTCTCTCTCTCTCTCTTCTTGAATTGCTGTTGCCTTGAGCTTATTTCGTTAAGCAAGACGACTGCAGGATCCCATTTAGGAGGCCTCCGTGGGAGGAGGGAGAGGTTTTTTGACGTCCTCTCACTCCGTCTCCTCCCATCACTCCCCTCGCCGCCCAGGTCGGTGTTCCCTGCCCCTCCCCGCCGCTCCAGCTGCTGGTGCCTCCGGGCCAGCCGGCAACGATCGGCCCAGAGCCTTGGCCGAGCGTATCGGGGCCAAGGACTAGGCATCCGAGGCCGTAGCTCGAGCCCGGCGACGAGACACCTGCGGCGATGTGATTTGTTCAATGCGGACGTGTGTCCTCGATTCTGGCCCCCGGGGCACGCGGTCGGGCCACACGGGACCACCAAAAATGGATCCGGGACACAAGACTGACCTCAGGAATGGGTCGGGAGTTCTTGAGGGGGGGGGGGAGCGGATTGAAAGCACACATCTGCGGATGCCCAGGTACATCTACATTTCCCCTTGGCCTGGCCCATCTTGGGTCCAGGAGCGCTGTGTATGCCTCCCTGGCCAAGTCAGCAGGGCGTATACACAGCTCCTGGCCCTGGCATGGGCCTGACCAGGGGCAGTGGATCTGTGTAGATCTCGTCGCCCGCTCGAAGGTACTGCTGAAAAAAGACGCACACACAAACACACACACACACACACACACACACACACACACACACACACACAAAAACACACACACACACACACACACACACACACACGCGCGCGCGCACACACACACACACACACACAGTCACACTGCGGGAAAAAAAGACACTTTGGAAAAGAGCCCCCAAAAAAGCATCATATGTTCTTGTTCCACAAGCTGTGCGCTCTTTTCCACAGTGCATAAACGTACATTGTCGAAGGTTCGCGCGGATTGCTTGCATCGGCGCTCGACCCCTCTCCTCCCTGGCGCGCGGAGCGCGTGCCAGGGGCATCTCGGGTGTCCTTGGGGTCTTCTTGGGAGCTGCTGCTGTGCTCTTGAGGAATTGTTCGGCCATTTTGGTTGGGCCGTGTTGCAAGGCATCCTGGAGCTCTTGAGTAATGCCAGGGGGGCGTCAGTGCGGCCCAGGGATCCTCGGGCGGGTGAGGGGGGGGGCGGGGGCGCAGCGATGCACGCAGCAAAGTGGGAGGAAGGCGCGGGCCTCAGAGGACTTGCAGGAGTTCTTCCCTGGGCAGCACTTGGAATTAGACCGCGCGTCGACGTGCTGGGGGGGCACAGCGGCGGCTTGGCTTCTTCCCAGACCTCCGACTTGGTGGCTCTTCGATCCGCGGCCCTCCCAGGCTCTCGGCCTTCCGTCGCGGGTCGCCGTCAATTCCCCCGGGATCCCGAAGCGGCTCCTGGACACCAAGGCTCAGAGACGACAGGAGGACCTGGTAAAGCACAGGAGTCGAAGGTCTCGGTGGCCTCTCTTCTGACCAGACTCTCGAGGCAGATCCTGCCTTGGCGACGAGGACGCTCTGCGCCCAGGAGGAGCCGACGATCCTCAGGACGTGCGTTAGCCCGATGTGCGCTGTACCCCGCTCCGTTCCGCCGACAGCACGCAGTCCGTGCCGGCCTTCTCTACACGGGGGTCACACCGCATCGAAACTTCGGTGGACAAGCACACGTTGGCGACAGCGCACGCTCTAAGGATCGTCGGAGAAGGCAGCAACCCCCGACGTCATGACTTGTGCATGGCGTCGACCCCCACGGGTCTCGACCCGTTCCCCAGGGCCGGCCTCGCATCCTGAGTCGTTTTGCTGACGGCCCCGAGGCCTGGCGCGGGCCCCCGGAGGCCGAAGATAGCGGAAGACCTCCCATCGTGATTCTGTCAAGATTCGAGGGGCTTTGGGCCTCCCCCCCGCGGTCAGCCCTCCGCCCCCCCCCCTTGGCCGAGTCCGCCGAGACCCCACCACCCTCGGGCCGCGCGCGAGAGGTCCCTCCTGCCCACGGGGCCACGCCCAAGGCCTCCGGCTTCCCGCCTGTGTCTTAGGCCTCCTAGATGCGGTCGGAGTAGATGGGGTCGGAGAATCGCGCCGCATCGCGGATGCACCGGCGATGCGGCTCGATGTGGAGCCCGATTTCCTTCACGTCGACGTCGCCCATGCATCGTCCACGTTGACGCCTCGTCGCCGGTGCATCGGCGATGCGGCGCGGTCCTCCGACCCCATCTACTCCGACCCCATCTAGGAGCCCTCTACTGTGGTGCTCGCGGCCTGGGCCCCCGAGCCTCTCCAGCCGCCCTCCCTCAGGGCAGGCTTCCTCCATGCCGAGGCGTCTCTTTCCTGGGCCCCGCAGAAGGCCCCTGCGGGCCGAGGATGGCCGAACTACCCCCCCCTCCCCCCCCGCTGTGGCTTTTGGCACAGGTTTAGGGGGTCCTCCTCCTCCTCCTCCTCCTCCTCCTCCTCCTCCTCCTCCTCCTCCTCCTCCTCCTCCTCCTCCTCCTTCCTCCCTCCTCCCCCCCTCCCTCCCCCCTCCTCCTCCTCTACCTCCCTCCCTCCCTCCCTCCCTCCCTCTCCCTCCCCCTCCCTCCCTCCCCCCTCCTTTCCTCCCTCCCTCCCTCCCTCCCTCCCCCCTCCCTCCCTCCCTAGCTCCACCTCCCAGACACATGCTCTGAGGCGCTCCCCTCGCTGGAGGTCCCGGGGCAGGAGCCCCTGCTGCAGGACATGGGCGGTACCAGGGGGGTGAGCGGGTTCAGCGGCCCGGACTCGCCCTCGCCGCTGGAGTGCGTTCGTCCCGAGCTGAGCAGAGGAGTGTGGGCGAGGATCGAGGAAGGAGGAGGGGGAGAAGCAGGAGGAGGAGGAGGAGGAGGAGGAGGAGGAGGACGAGGAGGACGAGGAGGAGAAGGAGAGGAGGAGGAGGAGGAGGAGGAGGAGGACGAGGAGAGAGGAGGAGAGGAGGAGGAGGAGGAGGAGGAGGAGGAGGAGGAGGAGGAGGAGGAGGAGGAGGACGAGGAGGACGAGGAGGACGAGGAGGGAGGAGGAGGAGGAGGAGGAGGAGGAGGACGAGGGGGAGGGGGGGGGAGGAGGAGGAGGAGGAGGAGGAGGAGGAGGAGGGGAGGAGGAGGAGGAGGAGGAGGACGAGGACGAGGACGAGGACGAGGACGAGGACGAGGGGACGAGGACGAGGGGAGGAGGAGGAGGAGGAGGAGGAGGAGGCGGAGGAGGAGTGAGGAGGAGGAGGAGGAGGAGGAGGAGGAGGACGAGGAGGAGGAGGAGGAGGAGGAGGAGGAGGAGGGGGGGGAGGAGGAGGGGGGAGGAGGGAGGGAGGACGAGGAGGGGGATGATGAGGAGGAGAACGAGGGAGGGAGGAGCAGGAGGAGGAGGAGGAGGAGGAGGAGGAGGAGGAGGAGAACGAGGAGGAGCAAGAGGAGGACGAGGACCAGTGTAAACCTAAGACCCGTCAACGATGTTGAAATACACGCTTCCTCCAAGATCTATTTTCATTGGCCACTACAAGGGATCATTTCCACTGAGGGAATGCCCCGTTGGGGGACAACCGTGTGACCATCTTGAAGCGTGCCAAAACACCGTTCTCGGGACTTCATTGTCAGGAGTTAACCTGACTGTTACGCCTTGGCGGCCCTGAATCGTGCAAGAACGCCGCTCCTGGGACTTCAACACAGCGAATCAACATAACTCTCTTACGCCCTGACAATCCCGAGTCGCTCCAAAACACCATTCCTGGTACGTTAACTTTGAGAATCCGCGAAACTCGCGCAAACGTTCAAGACGAATGTGTGCGGCGCTGAGGCGAGAGCTACAGTTTAAAAACGGCCCGCCCTCAATCCGTGACGCTCTTGCATTATCTCAAGACACACGTGCGAGGCGCAAAGGCGAGAGCCACATGTTGAAAACCATCCGCCCTCCATCCGTGAAACCGTTGTCAAATGGTAAGCATCAGTGTCATACCTGGTGAGGAAGTCTCAGGCGAAACGCCCGGCCCGCCCTTTCGACCGGCCTCAGGGTGCCACAGGGAGGAGTTATCTATAAGGAAAAGGAATGGAGAAAGTGGATGCGGGGGGGGGAGGGGGACCAGGAGGAGGATTAGATTAGATTAGATTAGATTAGATTAGACAGCGCCTTGAGAAAGGTCGGACGGTGAACACACCAAGGACAGGCAAGGTTACTGGGTTATGCCATCGTCTGAGAATGGGCTTCTTTGGCCTTTACTCTGGCGAGTAGGGCTGCCATTCTCTGCTCATACTGTGGGGCGGCGTCATTAGAGGAGAAACCTCTGGGGACGGACGAAACAGACTGCACCTCTTTGGGACTGGCGAGGGTCGCATCAAGTCGAGAAATGGGGATGGCCTTATCTAAACGTTCCCGCAACCTTGGGTTAGGCCCTAATCCCCGACGAAGAGCGCTCAACACCTCTAATCCCTTAGAAGTCGGTGCTTCACAAGTCTTAGCAAGTTTGATCATCCGCCCCTACGTCCAGCCTCCACAGTTGAGGCATAAGAACTGTTGCTCCTTAACTTCAGTGCGTCCAGAACCCGCGACAGGCCCCGAGGAAGCACCAGAAACAGTAGTAAGAGCCGTGCCCGACACAGCGACGAGCGTGTGGCCCTTGGGATCAGCGAGCAACTTCAAGATAGCAGACGGCGTGCCTTGACAACCATCGGCTGGGCGGTCAGACGAAGTACTAACAATTAGACAGCGAGCACACTGAATCCCGAGCTCTGTGCAACGCCACAGGTGCCAACTCCTCTTGGCTCGTGAACGCTGCTGGCTCATCGGAGCTACCCGACGCCACCTCATCGCATTGCGAAAGAGAGGGAGGGTCGCACTAGCCAACTTCACAAAAATCCTAGCCCGCATTTCAGCCTCCTCAAATGACTGTAAGAAAGCGGGCGTTGGGGTAGGGTGACGAGCCAGGGACATCTTCGCGTGGTTGTCAACAATCTTGTTGGCCTGACCAAAACGGTACTCGTCACCTTCGAGCTGATTCAAATCTTCATCCGAACGGTGGGCTTTAACATGAAAAGCCTCCAAAAACTGCGAACAATCCAGCTCAAAAGCAAATTTCCGAATTCCAGAAAACTTATTCTGGGCCTCCAGCTTCCCCGAGACAGGTCCCTGGATGTGCTGAATGACACCAAGACAATCTAGACCGAGCTTGGTAGGACGGTCGGCAACCTGACCGCACAACGCAGCAGCAACATGCTCCGAAACAGCGGGGCTCTGGGGGAGGGAGCCTGGTACAATACCTCGAAGCACTGCCTGCATGTCCGCCGAGCTCGGTGAAAGGATTGCAATGGACCAAGCCGCGCGTCGGAGCGGCCTGAGCAGCTGCTTGGTGGCCAAGCCATCGGCCGCAATCTCCAACGGCTGTCCTGGCGGAACGAGTGCAGCCAATTCCCCGGGTTGACGGTCGAGCTCACTCCCCTGCCCGTCAAAAATCTCACACGTAAAGTTGAGAGAAGGAGGGACAAGCTCAGAATCTTCATACACAAAGATCCCTCGAGTACGCAGACAATCACCACTCTGACGAGCCACCTGCAGTGACTCAATCGGGATATCCTCACAAGCCAATTCACGAGCAGCCTGCACGTCAGACCGCCCACAAGTGTATATGCGATGATGCGGGGTATCTATCTGACCACACCCACAACGACCACAACTGAGATACCCCGCATCCTTGGCCCTCTGCTCGGTCCAATTGGCGTCACAAGCAGCACACGTGAGTAAAAACTGCTGCTGTCGAGTGAAACTTTTAACGCGAGGAACCATCTTGTCCCTGGCCAGGTCCAGAGTGGCCCGATACCCAGGAGGAAAACCAAGTTTTCGGCCCAAGGCCAACTCAGCCTGCCTCTGGAGGCCAGCTTCCAACAACTCCTGCAGCATACGTGGAGAGATTAAAACGGATACCGATGCGATTCTGATGGTGATCTATCCAAGAACAGGCCCCTGGAGCCGGCCATCCTGCCCTCCTCAGGCACAAGGCTACTCTGCTGAGCGGGCCTCGACTACTTTTCCAGTCAACGACACTGCTCGCATTGGCCTGATTCCACAAGGAAACGAGGGCAGGGTAACTTATAAGGGCCCTCCCGGGCGCGATTTTGGAGATCCAAACCATCCTACTCCATTGCAAGACAGGGCCCAAAGCAGCACGGACATCCCACTCTCCAAAGAGGACTAGCTTGGCACTTGCGGATGTGCCCCCGTGCATGGGCGCCTGTCGCCTCGCCCGGGTTCTGCGCGCTGCCGCCAAGTCAGCGTCCGAGAACCCCGGGACCTCAGAACCGTGCGACGACGCGGGAGCCAGGCCAGCACGCAGGACCCTTTGGAGGACTTGTTTTGGTCTGCGCTTAATTATGCTGCTGGACTTACCAATATGCTTGGCACGCTTGCGCATAGCCTTCAACCTACTCCTAAGTTTGGGTATTGTGCCCTTCGCCGCTCGAGGGGCACCAGCTGTTGAGTCGACTCCTAAGTAGGCGACTGCCTTCTTAAATGTGTTGCATTGCATCTGGAGACCTGCGGCTACATCTTTGGCTAGATCCACAGACGACGCAACTACAGCAATCTTATCATTCAACGCTGCACCTAGATTCTGACTGGCAATCTGGAAATCTTTTCCCGCCGCCACCGCTAGATCCAGAGCTCTCTGTCTGTCCGAAGCAGAGATCTGGATCCCTGAATCGTCTATGCGCGACAAAAAACTGACAAGCAGGGGCTGTCGCGAGACAAACCAGTCATATTCACGAACTGCGTGTATCTTGATGCAAAAATCACTGAAGCAATCACATGCTGGGAGGCCAAGCTGCGCAAGCATACAATCAAGCGAGTGATGTTGGCAAAGCCTCAATATTCCCGGAGCTTGCCATACATTAAATACTAGCTTTAGCAGCGGCGACGGAACCCGAAACGCTCTGCACTTGCCACACAAACGTGCGAGATCTATCGTCTCATAGTATTTGCTGTAGTCAGCTACTACTAGCACAGAAAAACGATGGTTGACAGTGTCAGCTTCACTCCTGGCCGCAAGTGCCCAAGCACAATCCACAGCACTCCTCCCCCGAGTGCCCCCCCCAGTACCCACGGTCCAAAGCACCCATCACTTCACTTAACATGGGGCGGCGGAGCCTCTGCCAAATGCGATACATTCCAGAGTAAAGGACTATAAGCCTATAGCCACCGGAAGGCTCAGGCAGCATCGGCATTAAAACCCAGAGCAATTGTCGCGGCAAAAGGCCCAGTGCTTCACAACACTGCCACAACTTTGCAAGGACACTGAGACCATTGTCATCTAACAACTGGAAATGACGGGAATGCAGTTGATCGAGAGATCTTGCCGTGCCGTCAGGGAAGGAACGAATGACCGTGCGGATATCTTCAACGCTCGTGACAGGAAACGACTCTCTGTCAGGGATCCAAGCCTGTGGCGGAATCGCTCCAGCTTTCCAGAGCATCTTATAAACTCGAGCCTCATGCTGAACTACACTATGGGGGTCAGCCGTGGGGCCTAGAGGATCATGAACAACAGTGGGGGGGCAAACGCTCCGAACCTTGGTGATCCTATGTAGGCCCCTGGCCCACCCAACAATAGCTGTCTCACACCAGTAATTCCAATCAACGTCAGCTTCTCGATTGGCAGCCTTCTGGGAGGACTCGACATCGTCAGAAATCTGTTGCAAGAACTCGAGCACAGCATTTGAGCCCAAATGCTCGTCAAACAATTTACGTGCCTGCTTACATGAGTTATCCAACCTAGCGCTGAGACCGAAACCT